GTGCCTGACATTCAAGTAGCACATACGTCTAGAAAAATGAAAGAGATGTTTTTGAGATAACACAGCTATTCAGCAGTAGATGTGGGACCCTAAACCAGGTCATGCGGGTCGTTTGAGAAATACATCACGTTTCTCAGAGTTACATATAGAAACAGAATTTGTAAAAGGCACTTAATGTAGTTGCCCCTGAATTGGGCAATTTTTTTTTTCCTTTCATGAAATTCTTTGGACTAGGCAGGGAGATTCAAGTCTCCAAAAACACTTTGTGAAGAGACTTTCCTTGGTAAGCACGAAGAGTTGTTTTGAGAAAGTTACAGCCTGGTTTGGGGTCTTGGCATTACACTGCACACAATTTGATGTCCTTTAGTGCTACTGCTGCCATTAAAGACACAGACATGGGTGGTGCGGAGGCAAAGCACAGTTCTCGCTCCAAAGGAAGTAAGGGATGGTTTATTCTGAACTACACGTCAGTGGCTACGACACAGGAAAGCAAATCCAGGTTCCCCTTAATAAAAGGCCCAGTGTGGAAGAGGTTGCACGAATGGTAACTGTCAAAGAACAAATAAATCCGTTTGTCAAACACATTGGTGAGGATGTCAGGTAGGCGAGCACCCCACAACAGAGCAGGAAGTACAGTCTGTATGTCTCCGAGATGGTACCTTATACCCATAGCTTCAACGTTGGTAGTAGCTACTGCTCAGCTAAGTTGAACAGTGCATCCCATAATTTTCCCTAATACTCGGATACAGAGGTTAAGAGAGCTAACAATCACCCTGAATCATTTGGTTCTTGGTCTACAATATGTCCTCTGCCCCAGATCAGGCAGGACTGGCTGGAATTTTCAGCACAGATGCGGGTTTTTCAGAGAACTACACTACAGTGTTGATTACCACCCGCTTAGAACAAAACAGCCAGAGACCTCTCGAAAGTCCAAGAGGTTCCCAATGGCCAGACGCATGAATTTACACAGGCAAGGGAGGAGCTGCTCTATAACACTCCTCTCATGAATCACACAAGCTGTTATCCAGTTGTTGTTGTTTTTTAAGTCTGTCCATGGTAAGAGTCAACATGATAAATGACCATCCATCATCTCTATCATGGAGTCACATGGGAAAGGCCTTGGAAGATAATTTCATTTCCATGGTCATTCATAGATGCTTCAAATATGTTCTACTAGTCTTCCTCATCGGCTCCAGTTTCCTTCATTACAACTCAGTTAAATTTTAGCTGTGTGACCTTGAGCAAGTAGTCCAACCCTTTCCAGCTTCCAGTTCCTCCTATGCGAAGCAATGGGACTGTGTAAGGTTAACTGCCCATCCTTCAGAGGTGCCTGGAGCACCACTGTGCAGGTTGGGGAAAGGTTCTGAGTTTGCAAGAATCTGCCTGATCTATTCAAAGCTGCCTGTAGACCTCTCTAAAGCTTGTCTTGGAAAGGACTCATTCTACCACAGTGTTTAAATACCAGTATGTTTTCTTGAATTTTAAGGGCCTTTGTACTTTCCCTAAACGAACATGATGTAGTAAATCGCTCATCTCAACAGGAACTTAATATGACAAAGTGTTTTATGCAGAGAAACACAACAAACAACTCATTTTTATTACTTTTTTCTAACTCTTAAAACGTTGATATCATCATGAAATACAATGCTTAAAATGACAGAACCCATATATAATAGGCACTCGGAAAGCAGTTAGCAACGCTCCAAAGGAAGTGGCTCACAAAGGTCAGAACCAAATTACAATTCTGTGTATTTTTTCCCCTCTTAGGAAACAGCAAAGGTGTATCTTAATCCAAACAAATGCAGAAAAACAGTTTATCTCCAGTGTCACAGTTGCTAAGTTTCCAAGGCTCCTCCACAAATATCATCTACCATTTCTGTATTTCTGGCAAAGGTTAACCCTGAAACATCAGTTTACTAAGGTGACACAAAGTATCAGAAAATCACCTGGGAAATTCACAAGTGCGTCCCTCTGCCTTGGCGAGGGAGGGTTGTTAGTCTCATTGGACTGGGTAACCTTTTCAGCCTCTTCTTAGGCCCTGGTTCCCTCTCACTCTCGCAAAGTACTGTTGCCAATTCGTTCATCTCACGTGAAAAGCTTTCTCTATCTTTATTCTTTTATTTGTGTGTGTGTGTGCGCGCGCGCGCGCGCGTGTGTGTGTGCACGCGCATGTGTGCCAGGTGTGTGCAGTGCACGTGAAATCGGGAAGAGGGAGCATTTGGTAATCTGGAGCTGGAGTTACAGGAAGTTGTGAGCCACCTGACATGGGTACTAGGAGCTGAGTTCGAGTCTTCTGGAAGAGCAGGAAATGTTCTTAACTGCTGAGTCATCTCTCCCCCTTTTTCCATCCCAACTGAAGGCTGACGAGTAGAAACATTTGAACTCAGAAGACATTAGCTTTGTCACAAATGGGTTGGTTGAGTCACCTATTTTCTGTTTTTTTTTTTTTTTTGGTTTTTTTTTTTTTTTGGTTTTTCGAGACAGGGTTTCTCTGTGGCTTTGGAGCCTGTCCTGGCACTAGCTCTGCAGACCAGGCTGGTCTCGAACTCACAGAGATCCGCCTGCCTCTGCCTCCCGAGTGCTGGGATTAAAGGCGTGCGCCACCATCGCCCGGCGAGTCACCTATTTTCTATGTAGATTTTTTCCTGATTTTTGAGGCTCCCTACTTCCAAATCCTGACTGTAAGTCTTATCTAAGAAGCCATCTGTAGGGCCAGTGAGACGGCTCAATGGGTAAAGGTGTTTGCTCTCAAGTCTGCCAACCTGAGTTTAATCCCCAAGACCCACATAGTGGAAAGAAATCACTCCCCCAAATTGTCCTGACCTACACACACACACACACACACACACACACACACACACACACACACACACGTGTGTGTGCGCACTTGCAACATAACATATGTGCCCCCCAAAATAAATAAAGTTGAAAAAAATTAAAAGAAGCCTTCAGAATGAACTATCTGGAAGCGTGGAGTGATTTGTCATGTCTTGGTTGCAGTACAATGCTGCCCTACATTCTCCTCTAGTTATTTTTATATGAAAAAAAATCCCTTCTCATCCATATTTAGTTTAAAAGGCTTATTTTAGGGGGCAGACAGTGTGTCTTCTATTTAACTTAAATCTCCTAGGACAACTCAGAGAGTGCCTGAACTTAATCAATATGTACTTAGAACTATTTGCTCAAAGCAAAGACATGCTTTCCTTCAAAGCTCTGGAGCTCTATTTTACATCGATGCGGTATGACAGGAACATGAGAGCCACAAATGTAACTTAAAATTTCTAGCCAGCCAGATGGCAGATAATGGCACTTGCTGCACAAGCCTGGCAACCTGAGTTTGATCCTGAAATCCACGCGAAGGTGAAAAGAGAGAGCGGACTCTCCAAAGCTGCCCTCTGACCTCAGCACATGTGACCTGGCATGTGTGCCTAAACACATGTCCATTACAGGCACACGTTCAATAATTAACAATAATAGATGTATAATATATTTACTTTAAATATATTGGACCAGGAATGTAGTAGACACAAGGTTCTATGTTCAATCCCCAGCACCAAATAAACCAGGTATGATAGTACTCTGCACCAGTAGGAAGGTATTAGCATCACTCAAGAGGTGGAAACCGAAGATCAGAAGTTCCATATCATCCTTGTCTATATAGCAAGTTTGAGAACATGTTTCAAAAGAAAGGAAGGAAAGAAGGAAGGAAGGAAGAAAGAAACTAGTTGGCATGCATTTTGAAAAATAAACAAATTTATTTTTAAGAATGCATAACTGAATATCCAAATATTTATTATTGGGGTGGGGCACTGGGAGTGCAGTTCAGTTGGTAGGATGCTTGGCAAAGATGCAGGTGTAGGTTGTGTAGGTTTGACCCCCAGCACCACACAAACGGAATACGGTGTCACACTCTTATAACCACAGCACATGGGATCAGAGGTTAAAGGTCATCCTCCTTCAAGGCCAGCCTGGATTACACGAGACCTTGTCTCAAAAAATATTGTCATTCAACATGTAGCCAAAATGTTAAGATATTTTACATGTTTTGATTATGACATTGAGGTATAGTTTACTTTTCACAACACATCTCAATTTAAAATAGCCACATCTAAGCACTAGGTGGCCACCTAATAAACAGCGCCATTCTGCAATTCTGCTTTGCAAAGAGATCATTTTATTTTCTATTCGTATCATGATGACTCTGGGTAACTTAGTACTCGAGCCAACTAGAACGTATCCAATTCATTCTGGTAAGGTAGATTTGTAAATCACTAGCTACTAATGCAGGTGATCCGTGCTGTATGCATGCACAGAAAAAAAAACCTGTCGGCTGGCTGAAAGGCACGGAGCACGGGGAACAAGAGTTAATGATTGCCAGAAGTAAAGTGTGACTTCAGAAGAAAGTGACAAGAAAGAAAGGCAGCCGGCTGTTGGCAGGTGGGAGTTGCAAGTTTCCAAACTTTCGGGATCAAAGAGAGAGGCCTCATAGGGTGCCGCCCCAAAGAGCGTCCGAGTGTGTGGGGACAGAGGCGGGAAGGGGAACCGGCGGGTGAGGATTGGTTGGGAGCACGCAAGAGTGGTGGGGACGGAAGACGGAAGGGAGCAGGCGCCGGCTAGGGCAAGCAAACCCGCGAACCAAGAGAGTGGCCCCTGGGTGCTGGGACACTGTTTGGTGACCGACTTGACTTGCGAGGAAAGGCCGGCAGCTGACCCAACCCGCACCGCACCCACGGTCGCCCTCTCACGCTGGCTAGCGCTCGGAATTCAACCCCGCCACTCCCGGGTCTCAGAGTCCTGGGAACTTGTTAGTCCACTTCTGGCCTCCTCGAGCCCGTCTTCAGTAAAACAGCTTCTACAACTTTAAAACAGGCTGACTGCTGAAAATGAGTCCATAGAAACGGTTGCCAGGGCCCGTAAACTACTACTCCCAGAAGTCATTTGGGACACTTTGGTAACAAGCAATTGGCCAATGATGTACTGTTTCCTGTGTCGTGAGACCTTTTGGGCTCTTTACTGAGTTTACCTTTGACTTCGGTCAGAATTGTTCCGGGTTTCTTTCTCCCACAAGATGGCAGCGTCTGAAGACGACTTACTGCTGCCGCGGCTTCCGGAGCTCTTCGAAACCAGCAAAAAATTTCTGGAGGAAGTGGAAGTAGCAACTGAACCCTCCGGCTCCCGGACAATCCAGGATAAGGTGTCCAAAGGACTGGACCTCCTTGCGAAGGCTTCTGGAATGTTATTGGAACTTGATTTGTTCAGGTATGGGGGAGAGGGTAGTATCCGCAGAGCATGATTGGTTAGCAAGGGTGGAGCCATTGCGCCTGGGTGGAAAGGACCTTTAAGGCTAAACTCGCGTGGTTCTTGCTTGCTCACTCTGTCTGCATTCTTTTCATTTTCCACGTCTCTTCTGAGATGGTTAATATCCCAGGACAATGCTCCCTACTGTACGGCTGACTGCTCGGCCTTGGGTATGCAAACTCAGCCACTTTCTTTTAATCTGGCCAATGCTGTCTTCTCTCTGCAAACTCTGTTCTTCCCCAGAAGCAAGAGCCACAGTTTAATGCTCAGCTAGGCTTCACGGCCTCCTCTTTGCTCTTTCCAGCCGCAATGAAGATTTGGAAGAGATTGCTTCCACCGACCTGAAGTACCTGATGGTGCCAGCGTTGCAAGGAGCTCTCACCATGAAACAAGTCAACCCCAGCAAGCGTCTAGATCATTTGCAGCGGGCTCGAGAACACTTCCTAAATTTCTTAACTCAGTGTCATTGCTATCATGTGGCAGAGTTTCAACTACCCCAAACCAAGAATAACTCAGCTGAAAATAACACTGCTAGCACCTCCATGGCCTATCCAAATCTCGTTGCTATGGCATCTCAAAGACAGGCTAAAATAGAGAGGTGGGTCAATGACTGTAATTTGAGGGCTGCAGTGCTGTTGGGGTGCATGTGTTTGTGTGTGTGTGTGTGAGTGTGTGTGTGTGTGTGTGTGTGTGTGTGCTGCAGAATGGTGTATGCCATTCTCATGGTTCTTTATTGAACATAGGCCATGGTAAAAGCAAACTTTCCAGAGTCTTGAGAAGCCTCTGCCATTGTTGAGGGGGTTATACCTAAACTGCAGGATTTCCACACCCCCCAGCACACACCTTATAGTTGCCGATAGTAGCGGTGTTTACTATACTGACCTTTGGGATTAGCAAAGTATATCCTGACTTTTTCCATGTCCGTACATATGCTGTCTGTGTGGGGTAAATATCACAGATGTAGAAAGTATTCTGTTCTATTTATTGAACAGTTCTCTTCAGGAGTACAAGCTGAGATGTGTAATGTCCTTAATTATAGTCCTGGTAGAGCGTCGTGTGACCTTAATATTGTTTATTCTTAGATTTAAAAAAATTCAGTGATGGTCTACAAGAGCTAGTTCCAGGACAGGCTCAAAAACCACAGAGAAACCCTGTCTCGAAAAAACCAAAAAAAAAAAAAAAAAAAAAATTCAGTGAATGCTCAGTGTCTAAGAACAAAGTTAAGCACTGGGGATGCAACCTGTTTGGGTGTTTGTATGAATGTGGGTGATCACTGTGCTCTGGTGTGGGCAGGTGGCATAGAAACAGTGCGAGTATAAGATGGTACGAGGAGAGATGCATGGGCGCTCTGAAGAAAGAGGTCCAGGGAACAAGGGAGAAGAGCAGGCTCCCAGCAAAGGGAATTTCTGTTCTGAGGTGGAAATGTTAGCCCGAGGAAGGAGAGAGGAGGGGTTAGCCCAACAAAGTAACGGTGTCATTCAAGCCACAAAGGCATTAGATAAACAGTATTGGAGCGGGGCTGTGTGGAAAGAGAAAAAGCGTCCCCTCCCAAGCAGCAAAATAAGGCTAGAGCAAAATGGTGGTGGGGAGTGGGCAGAAGAGTGGGGCTCACATCAGAGAGAGTTTGGGATGTGATGGGGAAGGAGCAAGCTTGAGAGGGCGTTTGAGTCCCGGCTCCATCATTAGTTACTCCGGGATTTGGGGCAAATCACTTCATTTTCCCAGGTCTAAAATTGAGATAATAAGTCCCTTTTCATAGACTATTTTATGGAAGACTAACAGACATACATATAAAGCTCTTAGTGCAGCTCAGTGGCTGGCACAGTAGGCATTCACGGTCAGGTGGAGTTATATATTTGTGGTTAAAAGTAAGATCACAGAATCGGAGCTCTGGGTTTGAGTGTCAGCTTTCCTTACGGATCATTGGACTTTGGGGTAAGTTATTTAGCCTATCTAAGCCTCAGGTTCAGTCCTATGTGAAATTAAATAACAATGGTCCCAGTTTAATATGGTGAAGAAGCAGAAATTGGCTCAGCACCCATGAGTAAATAGACAGCAAAGTTGGGTTATAAATAAAAAATAAAAGGACAAGGAGTTGGAGGGGGAGTTAGAGTGAATCTGGGAGGAGTTGGGGGTGAATATGATCAAAATACACAGTATGTGTGTATGAAATTCTGAAATATTTCGTAAAAATAAATTTAAGTTATAAAGTAAATCAGGATGGGGAGAGTGTAAAATCGGTACTGTGGCATATTGAGTTTGCAGTACCTACAAGACATCTCTGTAGAGATGTCTGACAGAATGAAGCTCAGAGAGGTCAGGCTTGGACTTTAGAAGGTTGAGAATTAGGCTATTTGACAAATAGTTATGAAGCCTTTCATGAATGCCGGGGACTGTTCTGGATATTAGAAAACCAGCCAAAGTCAGCGCAGTTGCGCAGCTTTGATTGTGGTAGACACAGACAGTGAGCTGGTAGATACAGTCAGCCGAGCACCCAAAAGGCACCAGTGTTGATTCATGGCACATGTGCACACAGAAATACGCAGAAAACAGAGGAGAGGAAAATTGGAATTTCTCAAGTTCGGGTGCTAAGGGTATGAAGAGTAATAAAATGTAGGTAGGGAACAGTTAAGTCACAGGGAATGATTTTTCAAAACCGTGGGCTAGACTGAGACAAAATGGATTCCAGAACCCTCTCTCTGACACTGTGGACTGGCCGCCCATAGGCATAGATCAGAAGCTAAGGCAGTGACGTTTGTGTCCCGACAATTACCCCCAGAAAAAAGCAGAAGAGATGGAGAGAGGTAAGGGAGTGACACGAGCTGGCTGGAGGATGAGGCAAAGGTTCAGAACACAGTGGCCTGGGAGATGAAAGATCTCTAAAAATAGAAGCTGTAGACTTCCTGAATGTGAAAGCAATACTACACATTGTTGAAAAATTTGCAAAACATTTTTAAATCAAAAATAAGCCTTAATCTCAGCGTTCGTAGATGTCATTGTTAACTTTCTGCTGTATTTTCGTTCAGACATATAGTTATTTTAGTTAATAAATTATGAACAATACTGTAAATGCAGCTTTTTATCCTGGTTTTAAAACACTAATATTGTGAGCATTTCCCCTGTCATTTGAAGCCATATTTGATGGTTTTGTAATATTCTATTCTATAGTTGTACCATAATCACTTAAACTATTATTGTCAAGTTTTTAGATCCTGTTTTGTTTTGTTAGCTTGCATTTGGGGGTATGGTTTTGCTTGTTGTTTGTTTTGTTTTTGATGTGTGTGTGTGATTCTAAGTGATGCTATGAACAAACATTTGTACTCCTTTGGTTACTGTTTGCTTGGAATAGATTCCTCTATTTTAAGACTCTTGATGTGTGGCAACAATATTGCCCTCCACAAGAATGAAGTCTTAAAGTATTTCCCATTTCACAAGTCCTGGATGTTAACACTAGAAAGTTCAATTAGTTAAATAGAAAAAAGGTATACAATTTTGATTTACATTTCTTTGGCATGTAATCTTGATCTTTTGAACATTATTTTAAAAACTGTGTGACAGGTGAGTTGTCAACGCTGCATTTCTACTATTGCCCCTGGACTCCTGTAACTATCCTCTCTCTCTTCTGACCATGGTTCTCACAGCGTTTATGGGTAATTCCACATGTGCTAGCTTTTCCTGTTTCTTTCTTCTCCTTTTCTGCTGTGGTGCTAGGGGTTGATTCCAGGGGCCTCATGCATACTAGGGAAGCACTCTACAGCTCCAGCTTGAAGCCTGGCTTTTCACTCCAAGTGTGCCCAAATACCCGCTCATCACTATTTCAGTAAGTACACTGCCATTCAGCTGGGTGTGTAAGCAGGAAACCTAGAAGGTAACTTCA